CATCTCGTTCCACCCCCCTGCCCTGGGCAGGGACACCTCCCACCAGCCCAGGTTGCTCCAAGCCCCATCCAACCTGGCCTTGAACACCTCCAGGGATGGGGCATAAGAGCCGGGGTGGGTACGTTGAGGGCAGCATCCAGCCCTGCCCAAGCTGCAGGAGCTCAAAGGCTGGACCCCCACTGAGCTGGGAATTGCTGCAGAAAGGGTGTAGCTGTTAATGGGAAGCAGAGCCCACGGGCCGGGGGGATGCTCAGTGGTGTTGGGGGGATGCTCAGTGGTGTTGGGTGGCTGCAGGTGGGGACACCTCTCCGTCTGGCCCAGAGGAGGGGAAATATGGTGAAAAGGGGAGATGGTCCCAGCCAGCAGTGGCTGCACAAGCCCATCTCCCTGTCCCGGCACCATTAGGTGATGGGACGAAGCCAGTGCCGGGGAGCAAAGTGGCCACGGGGATGAGGATGCCATACTGGGACGCTGCTCACCTCACCCTCTGTCCCCCGCTAGGCGTCACCTACTCGGACACGGTGAGCGCTACGGAGCCGTGCAAGCCCTGCACGCAATGTGTGGGGCTGCAGAGCATGTCTGCGCCCTGCGTGGAGTCGGACGACGCCGTGTGCCGCTGCGCCTACGGCTAATACCCAGACCAGCCGAGCGGGGGGCGCCAAGACGGGTGTGCGAGGTGGGCTTCGGCCTCATGTTCCCCTGCCAGGACTCGCAGGACACCGTCTGCGAGGAGTGTCCCGAGGGTACCTTCTCCAGCGAAGCCAACTTCGTGGACCCCTGCCTGCCCTGCACCACCTGCGAGGAGAACGAGGTGATGGTGAAGGAGTGCACGGCCACCTCGGATGCCGAATGCAGAGGTAATGCCGCCTTTTTCCAGGGTTACAGAGGGGAGAGCTGGGTTCGCCGGGTCTCCTGTAGCGCTCCCTGCCTCAGTTTCCCTTCGCACCGCAGCAGTGGGGAGGCAGGGGCACGTCCCTGGGCTCGCAGGAGAGGAGAGGACCCCTGTGCCCAGCTGAGACTCCATCTCTTGAGCGTTTCAGCGCACACCTTCCTACCGAGACAGTGCTTTCATAGAATCATAGAATCATAGAATGTCTGAGGTCGGAAGGGACCTTTACGATCATCAAGTCCAACCATTAACCCAACCTGACAAAACCACCTCTAAACCATGTCCCCAAGTACCACCTCTGCCCTTTTTTCAAACACCTCCATGGATGGCAAATCCACCCCCTCCCTGGGCAGCCTCTTCCAATGTTTGATAACCCTCTCAGTGAAAAAATGTTTCCCAATATCCAATCTAAACCTCTCCTGACATAACTTGAACCCATTTCCTCTGGTCCTATCACTTGTCACCAGGGAGAAGAGCTCAGCCCCCCCTCTCTACCCCCTCCTTTCAGGGAGTTGTAGAGGGTGAGAAGGTCTCCCCTCAGCTCCTCTTCTCCAGGCTGAACAC